TAATAGTTTTAAAATATGTCAATTGAGTATGTATTGAAGATATATGGCATTTATCCCATGATGCTTACAGTTCATTGTGTGTCGGCACACTTTTTGTCTGGTCTGTTGATCAGCAGCTCTTGAGGAGGCCTGAAAGAGGAGACTGGGCTAAACACAAAGCCTTCTGTACAGGGGATGTAAGCAGAGCCTGTTCTAATCAACCTGCTTGCCCACCACAAAGGGAACCCTGGCTTAGATTACCCTCCTGCACCAGCACCACATGGTGTTGGGGCTAGTTGGTAACCTAAGACAGTAACATGTGTTGGGGCATGCGCACACTCACATACATACGCTCACATGCAAAGGTACACTCATATATCCCTACAGTATGTGCAAAAAACACAGGAAGACACAGAGATACAACCACAGGCACGCAGGAACATACAAACTTAAACAACCCACCACCTACACTAGACATGCACATGTACACACAAAGAGTTGGAAACAGAAAGATCCTGGGCACACCAGCAGGAACCTGCAGCAGCTATGAGTTTGTCATTCTCTCTGGGAGAGACAACTTCCCTCGCTCTGTAGTAAACTGGCCTTTCTCAGAATGTGGGCCTGTGTGTCACTGCTGGTCACAGGACCCTGACACACTTTGTGTGCAGTGAGAGTAGGAGGAGGGAGGAACAAAGTCTCTGCGGATTATCCCCCAAGTGAGAATCCTCGGGCAGTGTGGCGGTCAGCAAGAGGCCTGCAGAGCTTTGTGTCAAGAAGCCAAAGTGAATGCCACCATCACCAGTGGATTAGGTTGTTCCCTGTGGTTACCGTGAGAACACAATGGTCTTGGTGGTGTGTCACAAACATCCACCAATCCATGCTTCACTGAAACATCTCCCAGTGAGGCGGAGCTATTATTAGCTTAGGTACAGCAAAGCCTCTTAGATATCTTTATTTAACCAGATTGGCTGTCTGATGTATGGACACTTGAAGAGTGTGTGACGCACAGCCCTTTCAGGAACAGTGCAGAGGCTTTGCAACCAAGGCCATTGATAAAACAACAGTTCTACTACATGCTC